TCACGTGATGGGGATCAAAAAGTCTTTGACGCCGTTGTGTCACGCGCAAGAGAAAGCCGTTGCGCGGAAGAATCGTCACCTGTCTTGGGACACTAACCTCGCAGCTATAAGGTTCGCGATACTCAGCTGTTACAGCGCGCACTGGCGCGCCTTCGGATGTCGTGGCCGACAGAGAGACAGACCTTCGTGAATGCCGATAATTTCGTTCATAACATCACTCCTTAGTCCTTACCTACGTAAAATGTCGACGGTGCTACTTTACGCTAGAGATGACGAACGAATCCAGGCTGTGCAGAAGAAGTATGCTGATGAAGGAGATGCTCACCTCCTGATCACTACGAGGTAAGTCACCTTGTTTTATAGAAAACGCAAGGGATGAATGACAGGACCTCACCAGTCCGCGAAATTTATATCTCGAATATAGTCCTACCATTTACTTGATAGAGGGCGTTACGAGAAATAAGTACTTGGATCATTACCATGTCTGCCATTTAACCCCGTTCGTCTGCAGTGTCGAAGCCCCGGTTAGAAAGAAGCGCAGATGTGGTCGGCCGCGTAAATTTGATTGCTAAACCCGAACGCGAGGCGCTATGTACGAACTAGCGGATGAGTGTATAATGGTGACTCCTCACTGTGTGTGTTATCACGCGCCACGCCGCACACACGCCACGCGCAGTGTGAAGGGCTTGGCGCGGCGCGGCGCGGGCTGGCGTGGCGCGGCGTGTGCTATCTGTTTAAAGTCGGTAACTTCAAAGGCGCGGCGCGGCGCGCATGTCTAAAAAATTAGATTTAAGGGTAGCAAAATAGGTGATAACTTTTTAATGTTTATTCCATTCTATTCGAAAGGGTAAAAACTTTTACCAAAAAGTAAGCGCTACGATATGGTGAATAAAATAATTAAAGCCACAACTTCAAAATGTTAAAATATTTTGTTGTTTAAGTTTATTTTTAAAGTGCCTTATAGTGCTGTCACAATCTAGGGGCTAAGTTTGCCAGCAGTATTCCTCATTTTAGCTGACTTCAAAATAAGAGAGAATTCTTAATTCGACTGAAATTGTTACTGAAGTTGGGACTTCATTCTTCTATAAGTATACTGTCTTAGCACTAACTTCAGAAGCTATTATGTGGAAATTGTTTTATTGTTTTAGTGCTTTGAAGTTGACTATTAAAATTTTAAATTGATTTTTTTAAACTAGACTACCTATGATAGATGACCTCTAGTATCTACTTAATGTCATCGTCGTAAACGCGATTGCTGATCCTGAGATTCCAGGTTCGAATCCTGCCCAAAATTTGTAATTGGGTTTTTCGGTTAAGAATTTCTCAGAAGCAGCTCGGAATCAGAAATTAGCAGTGTATCCTTATATCTTTGTGCCTCGGAAGCACGTGAAGTCGTTGGTCCCGGGCCTGATCTCTCTCCGCTCGTTTAAATTACCGTCCCATCGGACTATGAGAGTGAGGGAACAGAGAGTGCTCTTGCGCCTGCGCATACACTCGGGCACTATAATACTGTCCTGCGCAGATTAGTCTCCGTCGAGCCCGGCCACCGTGACCGAAATTTCGGTCTGGAAAACATTATTATCAGTATCTATTTAAAAACATAACAACTCAGGAATAACCATTTTTATGGACAACCGAAGACTACGAAGGGTGACGTGACATTCCTAATGCTTATAAAAGCAGTCTACAAGCTCGGAATGTCGTGGATTTGAATCCAACACTAGATTACTGTCCTGAACCACAAGTTTAAGTTCACTCCAAGTAAGCTTATTACTTTAAGTGGACATCGTGAGTATTAGTAATGCTAATAACGCTACTATTTTTTTTAATTAAAAAGCAACATTTTTGTACGTGGTCAAGCCATGCTGTAGCTATATTAGTAGTTAGTTGTAGCACGAATGGATCGGCTCACGGCAAATATATTATTGCTACAACATGACTCTATGAGGTATATATCTTTCATTACTTTTTCGCCATTACACCATAGTAGCACATTCTAACTACTACTAAAAATCGGTCATCTAAGATGGGTCAATCGTGCCGTGCGGTGCTGCGCTCGACGCGGGCGGATCCCGAGCGACCGTTAGTAGATCGGGAGCTGTCCGCTTGGATTGTCCCGCAAATAAATTAAAATGATTCACACTACATCATGTGCGGTAAAAAACTGTGGGTCGTTCTCATTTAGTAATTTTCATTTGTCCTGCTTTTATTTTTTTATTTAATTTGTTTAAACGTGAAATAAAACAAAATCAGTTTTTTTTATTACTTCCTGTTCTGACAACCCTAGTAATTTATTATGTGTAACTATATTACGTTCAACTTAGGTTGTGATAGCAGGAACCATCATATCTAAGGAGAATACTGTAACTCAAGATATAGCAATTACGATCACTGTGGTTCCAGTTTTCTGCTATTAAGCTTTTTACTTTAAATTTCAATCATAATCTGCTACTCTAAATCAATTCCCTAAATTTGTAGCATAATCAGAAAATTTCATCTAACTTGTGTTTCAGCAGCCAATAAAATTATAGAGATAATATGTTAATTATGACACATCTTCTCGTCAGGTATACCTCAAACTCTGAAAACTAGATCGTACAACCAGTGCGTGTTGCCAGTGATGACTTATGGATCTGAGATGTGGTCCTTCACTGCTGGCTGTATGAGGACGCTCATGGTCGCTCAGCGAGCTATGGAGAGGGCTATGCTCGGAGTTTCTCTGCATGATAGACTCAGAAATGAGGATATCCGCAGTAAAACCAGAGTGACTGACATAGCCCAACGGATTAGTAAGCTGAAGTGGCAATAGGCCGGCCATATAGCTCGAAGAACCGATAACCGATGGGGAAGAAAGGTTCTCGGGTGGCAGCCTCGTACCGGTAGGCATAGTGTAAGGCGACCCCCCTCTAAATGGAGTGACAACCTGGTAAGACATGCAGGAAGTCGATGGATGCAGGTGGCTCAGGACCGTGCTTTGTGACATTACTTGGGGGAGGCCTATGTTCAGCAGTGGACTTATGAAGGGCTGTAATGATGATGATGATGATGGTTAAAAAATGTGTAATTTTTTTATGTACTTAATATATTATTTATTGTGTGGTTATCTGATATGGTTTCTAAATTTGTTTGCTTTTAGGTAAAAACATATGGCATTGTTCCATACAATGTTGGATATTGCCGCACAAAGCAACAAGCTTGCCCGCCTGATATGATTGGTAATATCGCCACTGAGATCATCTCAATATCCTAATGGCTAGAACGTAGGCAGATTTTATCTAGCATCTAGTTGGCACTTACTAATAAAAGTGATAGGGTTGGGTTATCCTTGTTCATGAGCAAAAATACATAAATTAATATTTATTCATAGGTATCTTATTGGAAACAGACACTCAAAAATATTATAATTGTCCATGATAATAACGAAGTTCCTTAGATTTCAAAGACAAATATTAATGTATTATATTGACAATGAAAGAATTGAAGTCAACTAGAGTAGATTTAATCAGAGTCCGTAAGCAATGCAAAACATAAAAGTTTCACAAAAACACACAGAATACAAATTCGCCGCTGAAACTAAAACACGGTTTATGCAGAAAAATGTCAATATTTTATATAATACATAATCGATTTTGGCAATTTTGGCTACATAATTAATAGATTTCAGATGTTAAATCATTAATTTTAATTCTCTTGGCTTTATTTTATGTCAAAACAAAATTAAATTTAGTTAGCCTCTTATATCATTTCAATAATTAAAATGAGTTTATACTTTGACATTGTCGGGGCTTTAATATTGATTGTAGTATCTAGTAAAATGTAATGGTTTTATACTCTTTGTTCTTCAGGAAGGTATATAATTACAGATGCATTCAGTAAATAAATATAGATAAATAAATGTATAAGATACATATTTATTACTGCACTCTATCATGCAGTTTATAAATAAAGGTGATTATTTAAATTTCCCCAGTTTTTAATATTTATTAATGCATTTTGTCAGGCAAAATTATATTTTTTTTATAGATGATTTTTTAAATTTCCCCAGCCTTCAAAATAAATGATGGTATACATTTACTAAATTAGCAATGTTCTATGTTTTAATGACAGTCTTGTGTTAGTAACAATTTATGTTTTTTCTTAGTCCAAAATGGCCGTCGTTCTTTAATGTTATGTACATTGTGTCTGAGGTTTGTAAACCAATCCTGAAAAATACGTTTCCTGAAACTTATGGGTGTAAGTTGTTTCTATTATATAATATGGTAGAGCCATGCTGCAGCTATATACTGTTGTAGCATGAATGGGTCGGCTAGCCATGGTAGGGGTAGGTATACACAAGATACCAGAGTTATATAGCAGCGCAATGCTGCTGTGTTTTACATGAAAAGTGTAGAGAATGGAAGACCATTTTTAGTGCAAACAATTTACATTCCATATTGGTCCTCACGGGTGACAAACATATCTGGATTCGGTTTCTTAATTGAGGATAAATGTAGATGCATATGGATCACAACATCCATTTATCATCAAGTAAACTACAATCTCGTTTGTCACCCTTATACTATAAAAATAAATACACAAACAATTCAGATATATATGAATGAGAAATACATAAGAAGCGCACTGGATATCTGTGATCTAAACATCTTCCTAGTCAATAATCCTCTAAAAAAATTCAGGTCTGTACTATATTATTATTAAATATGCTATACTGGAAGAATAATCAAAGCCAACTTAATATATCTGTTGGGTTCATAAAATAATTGAGATTAAAATTCCTTAAAAGCTCATATCAATTTGTTAGAACAAAGTTTCAAATGTCATCCTAAATGGCATTCATATATTATCAACTATCAACCTGGAGTACCTACTTCGTCCCTTCTGCTAAACCTGGACCAACAGATCAACAATACTATAAAAAACATCTTCAACATTGAGCTATGCAGTTCAATTAATAATTGTTTAACATAACTGTATGTTTGGTGGTTAAATAAGAAACTTACCTCTAAATGCTCAAATGCAGACATACTATAAATTAAAGAAGATATTTTTTTGCAGTCTGGAACATCAGTATCCTGACGATGTTGTGGAGTAGCAAGTTGATAATCTTGTTCCGGTATATTTCTAGAACTTCCATCTTCCGAAAAAGCAACATACCAATTTAATTGTTTTAATTGTCCAGCTTTGAGACAATCGACATCAGAGAGCATTTGAGAACTCATGTGTGTGTTTTCATCAACATCAGACCATAATTCATCTATCAACGTTTGTCTTTTGGACAAATCATGATAAATATCTATAACATCATCCCAATAAGTTTCTTGATTTAAAAATGCTAACAAATCGTACGGTCTTGCTAATTCAAATGGGGTTTCAACCTATAATCATTTAGTAATGTAAATTACAAATATAAGAAAAGTTTTAAGGGTAATTAATTACATTATACAGTTATTATAACAAGTTGTATTATACAATACATACCCTTGGTTGAATCAAACCGCTCTCGGTTACCATCCAATGAGTATTACCGTTAATAACATCAATGGAGCATGTAATAAAAATACTTATGAGGATAAGGTAAGTCATTTTTGCGTCTTATTTAATTATTTTATTATAAATAAGCATACTATTTAATATAGAATCTATATCATTTAATATAGAAATCACTAACAAAAAACAATATCCAGCTTCCGAGCCTGACAGTGACCACAGATAACCAAAGAATATTGTACTCTCTATTCAGGGGGGGTACACTTCCATACTTTAGGTTGGGGTCCAATAATTTGCGAAGACACTAGTGCCATCTTATACCATATCCCCGTAAACTTTCGAACATTAGTTTCTAAAAGGTGCGCTAGATGGCGGCTACACCAATTCTGGTTATTGGGTATGGAATTTGATGTAATTCACTAAACCTGTAACGTAAAGATAAAGAATTAATAATTATACGGACATTTAAAAGCTTTTTCTTAATTAAAAATATATTGAATAAAAATTTTTTTTGTCGGGCTGAGACTAAGATGCAATAAGTTTCTCGAACTGGCAAGTGGCAACTTTACGACATAATGGCACATAATGGTGAGTAAGCAAGTTGTTGTTTGCCATTTATGTGATTTTCGGTTGTTGCTAAAATAAGTTTGGTTGAGTTGAGATTAGCCCTCCTCCCATCTTATTGTTTAGGTTTTCATACTGGAACTACATTATATGTTTGTGTAGTGTTGTGCGAAATAGACGCTTTCATTTATCGTTCCGGTAACCCGGTACCAATGGGTGCGTTTGGCAGAAAATAGCGCTAGCAAGCGCTTACAAGCGCTAAAATAGTTTTCGGCCAGGACACGATTGCTAAATCAGTAGCGCTGACACAATCCGCCATTTTGCTTATTTAATTTGTTTGTTTTGAAGTAGAGTTTATAAGTTGTTTTGTGCAATATTAGTTTTAAGTAATATAATGACATGAATAGACATATACATGTTATTAAAAATTCATGATTGGTGGTTGCGCGGAAAACCATTCGTATTTATTTTATTTGACGGTAGGCTGCCAAATCGGTTATCCCTTTCCAAAAACGATATCATTCATACCCTCCTATCGACACATCGGGGTGGTGGGGTGGGAGGGGAAAGAAGATGATTCTAGAACATCACGTAATCATCGGAACCAAGGATATATAAGGCACGCGCGACCGACGCGCAGCCTCTTCCCGCCGCGCTCGTCATTGAAACCACACCGCTAGTAGAAACCGCTTTAGCCTGGAAGCAATCGAGCTCCAGGAAACCCGCCTCACCTCGTGTGGGATATAGTCGCGCACCGCCCCTCTCCGGAGTGTTCCAGAAGAAGTTCCAGAAGTCGCAGTTATAGTGCTCGACCGCATAGAAGAAACATCCCGGTGAGTCAACATTTTCCAAACAGTATAGCCTGCTTGATATAATTGTTTAACCCGCTCCAATTTCGTGTATTCCTAATCAAACAGGATTCCTTTCATCGATTTGGCAAATAATAGTTCGTTTTTAGGGAAGAGCGAGTGCATTGTACCGCATATATAAGTGTAGAAACATTTAGTAGATACAGTCCACTTAAGTTAATATCTCGCGTAATAGGTTTAAGGTTCGACCGGGGAACTAGACTTCGGCAGCCTTAGACACGTGGCTCTACCATTTTATGGTCACTTCGGCAGGATTTGCACTGGTGTTTAGTGGTCATCCAACCATTTTCTGGTCGAATAATTAGTGTTCGTAAATAGTGTAAATAGTGTTCGTTTAAATTTAAATTTTGATTAGGCACTCGCAAACAGAATTGTTTATTTCATAGCGCTCGTATTTGATTAAATTTAAAGCTTTAAAATTGAAACAGTGTGATAGCAACCGTTGGGTACGCTTACTCGACAATCTTGATAAAAATATTGAGTTTTAGCAAGCAACGCGTTGCCTCGACTGTAACAGGTGTTCGATTTAATTACGTAATACGGCATACCGAGTGTCCATCGTCCATCGTTTATGCGTGTGAGATTAATTGTGATTAATATAACTTCACTATAATAATTTAAAATGGCAGTTAGTGGAAATGAATTTAAAATTAAAACGCTTTATGCCAAGAGGGACGTACTTTTTTCACGTATACAAAGCATTAGCGATCACGTAAAGAACATTAATGTAGAAGCGGTGCGGGAAACTTTTCTGAATGAAATTGAAACGGTGGATTCTTTGCGGACGGATTACGAAAGAATATTAGACCAAATTAATCATTTGGAATTACAAATCGACCCGAAATACATAGTGAACTACCAACCGCTGCTGGCATTCGAAGATATGTTGTGTCGCGTGAAAAGAACGGCAAAACTCCTACAATCTCAAAGCGAAGCAAAGCCGGAATTACAGGTACGTCCTCGTGACTCAATTAGGTTGCCGCCAATAGATATTCCGGTATTCAATGGTGATATTAAGACGTGGCCCTTCTTCTTCAGTAGTTTTCAAAACAATATACACAATAACCCATCGTTATCGGATGCTGAAAAATTATATTACTTAATTAGTAAACTTAGTGGCAGGGCACAGTCGATCTGCTCTGGTTTTACACCTACAGCAAACAATTACTTATTAATATTCGAAACGCTTAAAACTAAATATGAAGATAGGAGAATGTTAGCTTCCGAATATTTGAACCAGATATTCGATCTTAAACCTATATCATCCGCGAACATCAACGGCTTAGAGCAGTTTCTAGATAAATTTGTGGCATCGGTGGCTGCACTTAAGAATTTGAAATTTAATGACCTTATGGACGTGGTGTTTCTCCATATTGCACTAAAGAAATTAGACCCCGACACCGTGCGTGCGTTTGAAATGGAGCATCGTAGCTCGGAGATGCCTTCCTTTCATTCATTAGCATCGTTCGTGCGAGATCAAATAAAGGTGATGCAGCGCTCTCCGAACGTTAAACAGGAGATTAAAAGGTGCGTCGACCGTAGACAGACTCAATCATCTAAAATAGCAGGGTCGTTAACTTACGTAACCGCGACGTCAACATCACTTCAGCATACTTGTATCGTATGTAAAGATAAACACGGTAATTTATATAATTGTGCGACTTTTCGTAAATATTCACCAAGCGAACGTTATAAATTAGTAAAGACAAACAACCTATGTTTGAACTGCTTAAGCGATAAGCATTTAGTTGCAAAATGCAATTCGAGTTCCGTATGTAGCAAGTGCGCCAGGAAACATCACACGCTATTACATTTTGAAAATAGCAACATAGCGGCGTCAAGTAAAGCGGACAAGGAATTCACCCCTACTAAGGTCAACGATTCTAGCGGTCGACCTGGTGATGTCGCTCTGTGCTCATTGGCGAATATGGGAGCACAACCTCCTTCAACCGTGTTACTGGGTACGCCGCGTATTTTGGTTAGGGATTCGCGTGGAAACGAACAAAGCGTCCGTGCACTGCTGGACAGCGGAGCCCAAAATAGCTTTATAACACGACAATGTTGTCAGCGCTTAGGTTTAGTAATAAATAGGTCACTTTCATGTCCTGTAGTTAAAGGCATCGGAGGTACTAGTAAAGCGACCCAGGGATATATAAATTTAAAATTTTATTCTCGGATAGATCGTAATGTTAACTTTGATATAAATGCACTAGTAGTGGATAGGGTCACTGAACGGTTGCCAACCGTTTCGGTTGACACCTCGGCAATGATTGAATTTAAAAATTTGACTCTAGCGGACGACACTTACGCCGTTCCTGGAAACATAGACATGCTCATTGGAGCATCGCTTTTCCCTCGTCTTTTGTTAAACAATAAGGTCAGGGGCAACTCCTCGCATACCGCGCCTTACGCACTGGAAACCGTATTGGGCTATGTTATCGTTGGCTCCGCCCCCATCATAGATAGTATTTCGGCAACCTCTTATTGTGGTATGGCTGTCGAACCGCTCGAGTCGTTAGTCCGCAAATTTTGGGAGATGGAGGAGGTGAACGTCCCACCCATAGCTAGCTCAGATGACAGATTATGCGAGGAAATTTACGTCCGCACGACCGTTCGTGATCGCGACGGTAGATATAGTGTAGCGCTACCCTTTAAGGGAGATGTTTTATCTCTCGGCGATTCGCGTCAAATGGCGGAAAAACGTTTCTACAGCTTGGAGCGTAGGATGCTCGCTTCACCCCAGTTAAAGGAAGCTTACGACGGCGTCATTAACGAATATATAAAAGAAGGTTACATATCACTTGTGGCTTCGAAATTAGATAACTACGAAGACACACCGTCGTACTTCATACCACACCACGGGGTCATTAGGGAGGACAAACTTACATCTAAGTTACGTGTAGTGCTCGACGCTAGTGCTAAAACTAGCACTCACCTGTCGCTTAACGATATCCTCTATAGTGGGCAAAAATTACAGGGCAGTTTATTTAATATAATAGCCAATTTTCGTTTGTTTAGTATAGCACTATCCGCCGATATTCGCCAAATGTTTCTTTGCATAGGGGTCCGTGAATGCGACCGTAGATTCCAACGCATTTTATATCGTTTCAACTCAAAGGAACCTCTAATGGTGTTTGAATTTAACCGCGTTTGTTTTGGTTTAAAGTCGAGCCCATTTCATGCGTTACGCACGGTGAAACAGCTCGCCCACGATGAAGGTCCCTCTTACCCTAAAGCTAAGAGGGCAATTGAGAGCGGTTTATATATGGATGATTTTGTATACTCGGTCGATAGCGTGGAGGAGGCCACCCTAACCACCGCCGAGGTTATAAAGCTCATGAAATCGGGTCAATTCGATCTTGTGAAGTGGACTAGTAATTCGCGTCCGGTTTTAGATACAATCCCACTATCACACCGTCTTTCGGCGATAAAGGAATTCGACGATTCTGATACACACAAGGTGCTCGGTCTGTGTTGGTCACCAGAGTCCGACGTGTTTAGCCTTAAGGTAAATCCGCCCGTAGAGAAATGCACAAAGCGCACAATACTGTCATGCGTTGCTAGATTATGGGACGTCATGGGTTTCGTAGCTCCGGTGGTATTATATGCTAAGCTTTTGATTAAACAAATTTGGTTATTTGAATGCGATTGGGATGATTCGCCGCCTGACAGCATTGTTCGTTTGTGGCAGCGCTTTAGAGAGGAACTTCCTTTACTAAGAGAAATTAGAATACCGCGTCATATAAACGTAGATAGAAATAGCGTCATAACGGTCGTTGGGTTTGCAGACGCCAGCGAGAAGGCTTACGGGGGCGTTGTATATTTCCACGTTCAGAATAATGGTAGAAATTCGATTAGCCTCATTAGTTCTAAGTCGAGAGTCTCACCCCCGTAAGGTTGTCTCTCTGGCGCGCTTAGAGCTTTGCGCAATATTAGTACTCAACAAGCTTATTACCGCAGTTATCAGCGCATGTAGGGATAGAGTTCACATAGAAAGGATATTTGCCTTTTCCGACTCCACCGTCGCCTTATGCTGGGTTCATTCTTCACCCCACCGTTGGGATACGTTTGTCGCGAACCGAGTGGCCAAGATCCAAGACGAGTTAGAAACGCGGAACTTTTATCACGTGTCCGGTACGGAAAACCCTGCCGATTGTCTATCCCGTGGACTCACCCCGATGCAAATAATGGACCACCCGCTTTGGTTCCATGGACCTTCTTGGGTTCACTTGGATCCCTCGCAATGGCCAATAACCGATTTCGAACCTTCGTCAGTGTCACAACCGCCGGAAGAGAAGAGACACGCTCTAGTGGCGAACGTTTCGAGCGAGGTTTCTCCAATCATTGCTTTGGCGAACCGCTTGTCCTCTTGGTCGAAATTATTGCGTAGCGTAATTTACGTTTGTCGATTCGCGAAGCTTTTACCGCGACGTTCGTATGTCTTAGCGTCCGATTACAACTATGCCGAGTCGCTAGTATTACGTGAACTTCAACGTGCGCACTTCTCTGAAGAAATTACAAGATTACAATCGAATAGAGCTTGTAGTCGCGCCTTTCAACGCCTTAAGCCATTTTTACAGGATGGGATTGTAAGGGTAGGTGGACGCTTGTCCAACTCGCAATTGAGTTTCGACCAACGGCACCCTATAGTTTTACCGCGTAAAGATCATATCTTGAACTTATTAGTCGATTACCATCATAAATTGAACTCGCACGCTGGCCCTGACTTGCTGATGTCGATCTTGCGTCAGAATTATTGGATTCTTTCTGCACGTAGTTTAATACGCAATCGGGTGCACAGATTTATAGCTTGCTTTCGGGCACGCCCCAAGTCGTCATTTCCGGAAATGGCGGAACTTAGATCTTGTAGAGTAATACAATCAGTAAAGCCCTTTACGCACACCGGGTCTGATTTCGCTGGTCCGTTTAAGGTCACGCTCACTCGCGGGCGTGGTATAAGATCCACAAAGGCTTACGTCTGCATTTTCGTATGTCTAACTACTCGAGCGGTGCATATAGAACTCGTTGGTGATCAAAGCACAGCAGGCTTTATGGGTGCATTTAAAAGATTTCTATCCCGCCGTGGCCCTGTAAGTAAATTATATTCGGATAACGGTACGAACTACGTCGGTGCAAAACTTATTCTATCGGAACTCCATGAGCTCTTAGCTAGCAAGTATTATAATTCGGAGTTCGCTCACATTCTAGCCGAGAACCGCATTGAGTGGTCTCTGAACGTCCCAACCGCGAGTCATTTTGGAGGCAATTGGGAGACTAATATTAAGAGTCTAAAGAGTCACTTATACCGAGTAATAGGAGATCAAATTTTGTCCTTCGAAGAGCTAAGTATGGTGCTCGCTCAAATTGAATGCGTAATGAATAGCCGCCCACTTTGTCGTACGTTGTCTAGTGACCCCTCGGAACCGCTGGCTCTAACTCCAGCACATTTTTTGAATTTAACGCCTCTAAGGTATCTGCCCGCCGCAGATATGGATGAGAACAGACTTAGCATTTCCGCACGCTACAAATTATTAGACCGGTTAGTGCAATCGTTTTGGAAACGATGGAGGATGGAATACTTGCATACTTTGCAGTCTCGGCAAAAATGGAACGCAGCGACTGAGCCTTTAGCTGTAGGAACTGTAGTTGTGCTCACCAAAGAGAATACGCCGCCTCTCCACTGGCCGTTAGGAATTGTCGAAGAGGTCTTTCCCGGTTCCGACGGAGTAATTAGGATAGCTCGCGTTAAGACCACGGTTGGGTCTTACCTGCGTCCTGTTGTCCGTTTGTGCCCCCTGCCGCTTCCATAATTTAAATTAGCTTTCTAGATTAGAAATTGTAGTTGAATTTAGGTAATCTTAGCGTTAGTTAGTTATTTTGTTAGTTTGATCTAAGCTCTAGTTGTTTTAGTTATTTTTTGAAGGAGATCCTTCAAGGGCGGGGGAGATGGTTGCGCGGAAAACCATTCGTATTTATTTTATTTGACGGTAGGCTGCCAAATTGGTTATCCCTTTCCAAAACGATATCATTCATACCCTCCTATCGACACAACGAGGTGGTGGGGTGGAAGGGGAAAGAAGATGATTCTAGAACATCACGTAATCATCGGAACCGAGGATATATAAGGCACGCGCGACCGACGCGCAGCCTCTTCCCGCCGCGCTCGTCGTTGAAACCACACCGCTAGTAGAAACCGCTTTAGCCTGGAAGCAATCGAGCTCCAGGAAACCCGCCTCACCTCGTGTGAGATATAGTCGCGCACCGCCCCTCTTCGGAGTGTTCCAGAAGAAGTTCCAGAAGTCGCAGTTGTAGTGCTCGACCGCATAGAAGAAACATCCCGGTGAGTCAACATTTTCCTAATAGTATAGCCTGCTTGATATAATTGTTTAACCCGCTCCAATTTTGTGTTTTCCTAATCAAGCAGGATTCCTTTCATCGATTTGGCAAATAATAGTTCGTTTTTAGGGAAGAGCGAGTGCATTGTACCGCATATATAAGTGTAGAAACATTTAGTAGATACAGTCCACTTAAATTAATATCTCGCGTAATAGGTTTAAGGTTCGACCGGGGAACTAGACTTCGGCAGCCTTAGACACGTGGCTCCACCAATTGGTAAGTTTTTAATATGATTACTTTACAAACATATATTTAAATTAGTTTAGATTCCCTTTTCGCTTTCTTTTCTTTTCGCTTTTTTCTGCCAAACGCACCCAATATTTAATTTGGTTTGGTGCTGTATTTTGCGGAATAGACGGTTTTACATCTTGTTTGTTAAAATGCCGAGGCGTTGTGCTATTGGATGTAAACCCCCTAGTAAGTAGATCTTATCTTCCGATCAGGAAAATTAGTTTTACCTAAATTTTACCTACGCTTTACAAATTTTAGACCGGTCACGTATGGGCTAACACAGTGCCATTTTTAATGAAATTAATAATTTTTGTAGTTTCATTTGAACACTATCTCACCGGATGGTTATTAAATAATGTTATGACTTCTATGACTAGCGCTGCCGTCGCCTATATTGCCTATGCCGGATACAAACTTTGAAAACCTTGGACATTTTATTGAAATCGAGCTTTTCCTAATTATCCTTTAAGTAAAGTAAAAATATAGTTTTCGATTTATTTATTTTTCTCTCAGAGACTGATTGTTTGTCGGACGGACAACCAATTAGTGTTCCGATGGACGGCAGCCCTACCTCGTATTTATACCGAGCGCATGCTAAGAATTCTCGGGAGTGTTAGACTTGACCAGGGAAGGACTAACAGAATACCGACATAAAAAAGAAGTTTAATGCTTCCATGCTTCATATGATATTTGGCTAACCTTTTGTGTTGTTTGAAATTTCATTTTATTTCAGGGGGTGTACTTCATATTTTTCCTAACAAATTCCCTAAAAAATTCCCTGAGCAGTTTAAAGCTTGGGCTCAGATTGTTAGTGGTAAAGATGAATGTGATTTTGATTACAAAAAAATGAAAATTTGTGATCAACACTTCACTGAAAGGGATCGGAATCGTAACAACCGCCTGAATGCACTAGCAGTCCCGTCACTTCTTCTGCATGGTACATAAATTGCGATAATTATTATAGCCAATACTAACCCCTTAATATATAATGACATTCCGAAGATGTCATTCATTTCATGTGCCATTGTAGACTTTGATGTCTCCAAGATGTCGGGAACGGTTTTTATTGAAAATATACCTGTGATCCGCATGATTGTTCACAATTGAGCCAAATTAAATTGTATTTATTCTATGGATGTGTTGACATGCATTTTATTTTTATGTCAAGGCGTTATTAAAAAACTTAGTTATCATAAGTTGATGTCTTCTCCACGTACCTAGGTACGTGCAGGTATCGGGCCTCGGGGTGTACCCCATTGCCCGGATATCCTCATACCCCATCACTATGGGGCAGTCACTTATTGCCTATCTTGGCGTGGTTATGCTACATTATATAATGTAGCCGGATAAGAAATTACTTTCCGTAGTTCACCGACTACGGAAAGGGAGGTAATCTATAGAGGTAATCTATAAGTCTAAGTTGGCCTTTCTGCGGCATTGTGGGTTGTTACTCGACTCTCTAATCACATATGGAGAGGAGTTCTCTTGGAAGAGGTCGCCCGTCCGGTGGCCGGGTGTGTAACGGCGCAAAGCCGTTCAGGTGTTCATGTGGCCCGTTATCGGCACGGTCAAACATGCCGCGCGCTAACCGGGCCACAAAGTCGGTGATGGTCTCGACTTTCAGATCGGCCGCTATGACGTCATTCCGGACGTAACGACCTGCTCCGACAATAGTCCTTAATGACAGGTTCTGCTGAGCCTGTAATCGCCGCCTCTGGGTGTCACTCAGAAGCGCGTACCAGGCCGGAGCAGCGTAGGTGGTAATAGTCCGGATATACATCTTGTATATCCGGAGCTTGGTCTTTATGGGCAGCTTGGATGCCAGGACCGGACGAAGCATCGCTCGCGCACATCTGGCTTTGCGGACGACGAAGTCGACGTGCGCAGTCATGCGCAGCGCCCGGTCGATCCGGCACCCGAGGTATGTCACGGCCTTCTCGTACGCGATCTTCTGGCCGTCGAGAGTTAGTGGTGGTGGTAGGTTTCTGAGGCGGCGAGTGAGCAGAGCGGTCGTCTTACCAACGTTGACGACCATCCTCCACTCGTTCAGCCATGATGGCAACAGGTCCAGCAGACGCTGCATTTTGGCAGTGGCTATATGGGCTCTTCCGGACGAGGTGAAATAGGCGCTATCGTCCGCGTATAGCGCCAGCTCAACGTCGTCCTCCCATTCTTGCAGCCTGCCTGCCAATGTTGGGATGTCATTCGTGTAAGCCGCGTACAGGACTGGAGACAGACAACTGCCCTTTGGGACGCCGGCACTGATGGTTCTTGTTGCGGACTCGGCGTCCTCTACGCAGACGTAGAACTTCCTGTCTGCCAGGAAAGACGCCATTAACCGCAACATGGCAGGGGGGACACTGGTCTGTTCGTGCAACTTATATAGTAATCCTGAGTGCCACACCCGGTCGAACGCCTTCTCGATATCGAGGAAGACGCCCAACGATATGCGGCCACGATTGTACTCTGCCGCAAGCAGGTGCAGCACTCTAGTCAGCTGTGTGACTGTAGAGTGACCCCTCCTGAATCCGTGCTGCTCCGCCCGAAGTTGGATGCACGGACGGAGACGTCTTAGCAGCAATCTTTCAAACAGTTTAGCTATGTGCGGTAATAGCGTAATCGGCCTGTAGCTGGCAGCTCTACGCCTGTCCTTCCCGGGTTTCGGCAAGACGATAATTTTGCCTTTTTTCCATTCCTCCGGGAAGTGGGATGTCCGCAATATTCCATTGTAGAGTCGACCAATCTCTACTAGGACTTTATAGGGCAGCTGTCGGAGTGCAGCGTTGGTAATCCCATCGTGCCCAGGCGCCTTCCTCGGTTGCAGGCGGGTTACTGTCCTCCGCAGTTCAGCGGGGGAGATGAACCACTCTCCTGCAAGAGGCGGCGCGGGCGACGACAGGAACTCCTGTACGCGACTCTCCTTTAGGGCATGAAGCTCCATGTACTCCGCACTTGCAGGGTTCGGCATAAATTGCTCCTCGAAGTGCTCTCCTAGGATATCCGCTCTGCCCTTGGCATCATAGCAGCGTTCGCCCGCATGGTTGGTAAGCGGGCAAACGGGAGGTCTGGTTTTGGTTAGCTGTCGGTTCAGTTTGTAGAGCGACGCATTTTGTTCTTCCGCCTTCCATATGCGCCGCTCCCAGGCCTCTCCTCTGTATGCCCGGACTGCCACCGACAGCTCCTCCGATAAGATGTTCAGTTGTGCTTTTAGTCTTGGGCAGCGAGTACGCGCCCAGAGCCTCCTAAGTGCTTTTTTGCGTTTTATCTTGACGCATATTTCCTGCGGCAGATCGTCACGCCTTTCTGTGATTGGGACGATCGTAGAGGCCGCGTGGAGGGCCTCCTGGATGTTTTTGGTGATTCTGGTTGCAGCGGCCTCTACGTCGTCCGCTGTGTTTATAAGTTGGTCTGCTGGAGGTCTCGCCCGCAGGTGTTGTGCGTAGCGCCTCCAGTCAATGCGTGTCTTGAAAGCTCTGGGCGGCGTAGTCACCGCCTTAGTGCCAAGGGTTATCAGAATCGGGAGGTGCTGTGAGCTCAGGTCGTATAGCACCTCTACCACTACCGGGTAGTTGACGTTCCTAGAGAGCACGATGTCTAATACATCCGGATGTTGCTTCGGATCTGTTGGAACGTTGGTTGGTTCTTCGGGACCTAAAACGTCGTAGTTGTTTCTCTCTGAGTCTTCATATAGTGCAAGACCCGGCGGGGTGATCACTCTGGACCCCCACGCCGGGTGTTTGGCGTTTAGGTCCCCGGCGATTATGGTAGGTGTATCGCCTTCCATCACTGTCCGGATGTCTGAGGAGCAGAATGGAGTCCCTGGCGGGCGGTATGCTGCGTAGATCCTTAGTTCCTCGCCCGCCGCCTCCATTCTTATGCCGATAGAGCGCATAGTCTGGAAAGGTGGTAATTCCAGCTCTTGGTGGACGATGTCCCTCCTCACAAGAACCGCCGTCCCTCTAAAGGCGGCCCCCTGAGGGGTGACCTCGTCCCTTCTGTATAGGTGGTAATTAGGCAGCTTAATATGCGTCTTTGGATTGAGTTTTGTCTCGCCCAGCAATATAATGTGCAAGTCCTGTTGCTGGGCGACTGTGCGGAGTTCATGAAGCTTCTGCTGTATTCCGCCCGGATTCCAATAGAGGAGGCGCAGATTACTCTCCTCCGTAATGCCGGGCTAATAGATTTGCCAGCGCCTTCATAATTGCTGTAATTGGGTCAGTCCTGGCTCGCGGTGTTACACTGATTGCCTGCCCTTCCCGCTGATGGTAGCCCACCCGTCTTGCTGGATGGTAACAGCTTTCGGGCGACTCTGGGGGATCCTTTTAGGGTCCTCCGGGAGTAGCCCCGGTAAGGTGATCCCCTGCCTCCTAGCAGTCCTCCTCAGGACTGGGCAGCGGCGGTCGTTTGCCGTGTGGTTCTTGCCACAGTTGGCACATTTGGGTTCCTCTTCCCTACCCTTAGGGCATAGGCTCGCAATGTGCTCCCCGGCACAGCGCACACATCTCACTGGCCTGAAGCAGTTTGCGGATGCATGTCCGAAGGCCTGGCAGCGATGGCATTGAGCCGGTCTTGCTTTCCTTTGCCAGGCCTCGATGACGACCCCCCCCTCATAAAGAGGAGTTCGTCGATGTTGTATAAATTCTGGAGCTGTTCCAGGCTCAGGTGGTCTAGTTGGGCAAAGTAGATGCAGCCAGGTCTGCCTCTACGTGGTGGAATTGCCTTAACATATTTGATAGGGAAGCCTTTTGCCCTTATGGCCTCCTCTATTGCCTTGGTGTCCGTGCCCATAGGTAGACCCCGGATGCCCACTTTAGTGGGCTTGTCCTCCTCCGGGGTATAGCAGTACCAGGACAGCGTTGGTGTTTCCTTGGTCAGCTCCACCATATAGCGCTGTACCGTACGGAACTCGTTGGCGCTTTGTGGCGTGAACCGCACGCCTTTCCCGAACGGACGGGCATTTAAAGGGTGGCCCAACATTCTGTTGAGCTCCTTAAAATGCCTCGTCCAGTCCGGTAGGCACTCAGCTACTATTGGTGGATATCTCGTTTTTTCCTGGTCGGCAGGCTTGTCAGTAGGCACTGCCGCCGGTTGTGGACGTGGTACTGCTGGTGCAGCTACCATATGGGCATAGCTGGTAGATGGTCGATCTGGTGATATAGAGCGAGGGGGGGGGTTGTGGTGGAGAAGGCGACTTCGGTGGTGATCTAAGCACCTTCTTCGTTGTCACCACCTGATGGTACTTTTCATCTTCGGATGAGGATGGAGCTTCGTCTGATGACAGCTGGGAACCTACCCGTTGCCTCTTCTCAAATAGGGAGGCTTCGGTCTCTGGCGGCGTGTGACGTCTGGCCGTTTTCTTGGCACGCTGTTGTTGGGGAGACGGTTCCTGCCTAACCGTGTGCTCAGACACGGCTGGCGTGAGCGCGACGCCCGTTGCGGGCTCCTTCCGCGGCGAGACGGGTTTCCGCATAGGGATATGGGAGAACGCTGGCACCGTTCTGGTGCGCTCCGGGTTCATAATATCCCTAATTGCTAGTAGTCTCTCTAACACCCCTTTCTTATCCGGCGGTATTTTTGACTTGGGGGGTGGTTCCCCCTTGTCCCTACCTGACATATTACTATTCTAACACGTCAGTCGTACTCTAAAAAAGGCCCTATCTAAGATATGGAGATAAAAGTTTATGGCTTTCGACACTTGGGGCACTGCCTACCCCTTTTGTACACCAAAAGGGTTGGGGGAAGTGCAACGGTGGCACTTTATGTCGCGACTAGGCACAGGATGCTCGGAGCGCATAAAGTGCCCAAGAATGACCTAGGGGCCGGTGACCTCGACGCCTCACGGAATCACGGGACTCAACGTTCGGCGGAGTATGTCGTACCGGCGTCATTTACAGCTACTGCTAACTGCAAACAACGCACACCTAGGAGATCCTTGATGATATCATAAGTAATTATGAGTTACTTATTACTTGAGTAGAGTTTGCATGCATGTAATATTTTTTTACTTTGTAAATAACTTTTAAATAAAAATTTATGTAATTGCTTAATATTAATAATATGTTAAGAATTCTTCTTCTTCTTCTAGCCCTTATCCCAACATAGTTGGGGTTGGCATAATACATTTTCCTTTTGAAGTCATACTTTTGCAAGGCTTGGCTTAGTTTTTAGTCTTTACAACCACCTGCCTGCCTGTCATTAACCCTACCCGGGAAGTTTTCTTTATGCTTTTGGCTAAATATTCATAATTTAAGGAGTCACTGATAAAATACTAGAAATTATGCTGGTATAAAATTTTAATGAGCGAGTATTATTTACTATAATAAGACAATATGACAAAATTTGATTGAATTTACAACAAAATTTTGATACTATAATATATTAAAAAACTTAATATAATATATTAACAATTATTAATAATATTTGCAGGCAGTCATGCTGATGTGCCAATACAAAATGAACAAAGTGCCTCAACAAACATAATGTCAGAAAAATCTCTAGGTCAACCAGAAGTATCTGACGATAATCAGTCCATGTCAGGTATGTTTGCTATTTTATATATTTTAGCATTAGTACTACAATCTACAACTATCTGTGAATACCATAAATTATAACTAAAAAAAACTTAGAATTTATAACTAATATTATTAATATATAACTGTCTACCAAAAGGCTGAACCAAATGCATACTTATTTACAATGGGAGAACGTATGTAATGTACATATAAAAAATATACAACAAAATTGATAATGTTTTAAAGTTTGTTAAAAATATTGCCAAGTTATTCAAGGTCATGACCTTGTGAAGATTTATAAAAATCTATGCAGTAGTTCCAGTTTTCAAAGGGACAGACAGACAGACAGACAAAAATAAAAATAGGCTTGTACAAAAATATAGAAGTTTTTTTTCCTTTTTACACACTCCTCCTGATGGTAAGTGGTTGCTGTGGCCCATAGACATCTATATCTATCCTCGATGACAAATCAAAATGCAGATGCCTTGTCACCAGTGAGGACTAAGATGTAATACCTCTTTTCCTGTAAAAAGGGTCTCCGGTTATCTACACTCACCATACTAAACACAGCAGCATTAAGCTACTATTTCACGCTGGTATTCTGTGAGAGCCTTCCCCGTTCGGTCGACCCATTCGTGTTACAACTATACTACTAATATAACTACAGCATGGCTCTACCACGTATAAACAATTACATTATATAACAGTTTTATAATAATAAGTATAACTTTACTGTAACATCATTAAGAGAAAAATTGCAAAAAAATAAATGAAAATCCATCTTATAGTCTAGCAGTACAGTGTTTATTATTTAATATATAAAACATAAAAATAGCCTTTATTTCTAGTTTCATTTATTTTTTGCCTTTTAGTTTAGTTCTCCTCCAACTTCTTCCACTCTCTATCAGCTGTCCTAGAGTCACCTTTAATTTATTTCCCCATTTTGTTGTAGATATTTTATTTAGTGTTGTTTACTAATTAATATTTTAATGATCAATTCTATTTTTCAGACAATGTTGCTGATGTCCAGACACAAATTAAAGCAGGTTTCCCGATAACCACAATGTGTGAACAATCTGCTGGTCAAACTGACAATTATCAGTGTACTTTAGGTAGTTTGCTATTTTATATTTTTTTAATATTCTAATATTCTATCAACAATTAATCTGCAACTACCTGTGATTACATACTGTATGTATAAGCTGATAAGCTCAGTGCAGCCATGAGAGTTCTCTTGATGAGTATTTAGATAAGATTTATAGTGGATAGATGAGTTTTTAAGGTTCCATATTGTAAGAGTGCCAAGGGGATCTCAATTCTGTGTCTACACTATCTGTCCATTTGTCTTTGGATTATATCCTAATAACTTGGCCAGGTTTAGACCATTTATTATGATGATAACATATTAACTGTTAAAACACATACAATAAAGATATTGTGCATTAAATAGCAGGAAACCCAGTGTTTGCTTCTCACTCTGAGGCAAAGTATAGCCATTTGGTGAGGAAATAATAATAAATATTTAAGAAAAAATAGATACAATATTATTGGTAACCTATAATATATTTTAATAAAGTCATTGCAATAAGTAGTTTAATAAAATCTACCAATTTTTCAGATCTATCTCCTGAAGTATCTTCCCCTGGTGGAGCATAACTACTGTAAACACTCAAAGGAGCATCGTAAAATAAAAAGTGAGGATAAATTTTCATTTAACATATCTATATTGTGTATTGACAGTGTAAAAACATCCATTACTCCATATCGTACCCCATGTGTCGTAAGAGGCGACAGAGAGAAACTGAAACATGAGATGGGCAGCAGTATTTTACTTTTAACAACTGAAAACAATAAAAAACTACAGTTGACCCTTGTAGTAAATATCACAGTGCACACACGTGAATGAAGTTGTCAATTGCAATTTTACATTATGATCTACCACATGCTCATCCACAAAGGAAAACATTGCGAGGAAGTAGTATAAGAGGAAAATGTTTGAGAAATTAGAATAATTTCAAAATGATGTGGATTTCACCAACGTGCTTTGAGGCAGTAGGAAGACAATTCCTTGCCTTATATATAGGATGCAAATTTGCCTTTTTTATAGAAAATAATATCTCATCTGTATTTAATAAATTCCACATGGAAGCATGATAACACTGACCTGGGGATTGAACCCAGGACCCCATGATGGGCAATCGCTCTGGCGTCTATACACAAATATTTATATTTGCAAAAAATAGATGCAACAATAAAATCTAAACAAAAAAGCTTTAGTTAACCACACCCCCACCAAAATCTTTAATAGCCAGTATAATACAGGCTATGAAGCATTCCATCTTAGTCCTCGAAGGTGACAACGCAACTGTAGCCTTCTTTCTCCGAAGTTGGTTGCGGATGTCTATTGGCTACATTAGCCACTTACTGTCAGGTAGACTATCAGCTTGTTTGTCACTTCAATTCTATAATAACATAATATAATATGTAATGTAGCGGTCAAACTTGAACTCATTACAAAAATAAAAATATAAACCTCTAATTGTAATATATATATCTATCTAATTGTAATATATATGTAATATATATAGTATAATGTATTACTTTAATTCATTGTATTATTTGATTTTCAGGCTGGAAAAGTAACTTACCATCAGTGGTAGCATCTGAAAAATATAGAGTTTCCAACAAAAAATAAAGAGTTTAAGAAGACAGGTTTATCGTCTTAGAAAACAGGGAAAAGACATAAAGTCACGGCTAGAAAACGCAGAAAAATTATTTAATAAATCTGATTTTCAAAAACTTGTAAAAGATATGAAACCAGCAGCAAAAGTTTTTGCAAACCTGCAGTATTATCAGGCCCAGAAGAAACCAACCGGTCGGCGTTTTAAAATTAAAGACAAAGTTCTCTCTCTTTCTTTATTTAAAAGAAGTCCCAAGTGTTATTCCCTAATGTCAAAATATTTTATACTTCCTTTGGCTAAGTCTTTAAAGCAGTTGCTTGCGAAAGTTGAACTTGGTGCTGACACTCAAGATAAACTGTGTACAGTTATATTTGATGAGATGTCAATTACACCTGAAATTAATTATGACTCATCGAAAGATGAATTAAAAGGATTTGCTAGTCATGGTAAAAACCTAATAGCAAACCATGCTCTCGTATTTATGATTAAAGGCATAAGGAGTCAGTATAAACAACCTGTTGCATATTATTTTACAAATTCATTAAATAAGTTTGAATTAAAAACAATTATAAAGGAAGTCATCAAAAATGTTAAGAAAAGTGGATTAATTGTATTAGCTACTGTTTGTGATCAAAGCACAGTAAATGTGGGAGCCATTGAAGAGCTAATAAAAGAAACCAAGGCTAACTATTCAAGGAAAGGGAACAATGTGGCTCATAATTTTTTTGAGCATAATGGAAAAAAATTATTCCATTATATGATGTCCCTCATTTAATGAAAGGATTGAGAAACAACCTCCTGACAAAAAATATGTCATATGTTGATTATGGAGATGGCAATAAAAAAAATAGTGAAATGGGACTGTCTTCAGCAATTGTATGCAGCAGATAAATCTTTTGGTGAGCTGAGATTCTTCCAAAAACTTACAGAGGAACATGTAGTTCCCGAAATTAAAAAAATGAGGGTTAAAACTGCAACACAGATATTTAGCCACAGTGTTGCAGTTACTACTGAACACTTGACCGCCAGGGGATGTTTACCCACAGAGTGTCGGGACCTTATTCCAATTACGGTGATATTAGACAATTTATTTGATAGCATGAACTGTAATTCATTTACAATCCCAAATTTACAAGGGGCCTGTGAGAAGGAAGACAAATTTTGTCAAAACTATAGAAGGCATTCAATAATTGTGGAAAATTTTATCACAAAAATATTCTTTTGACTCAATGTTCACGAGAAATTTCAATCAGGACCCACTTGAGAATTTCTTCGGAAGTATCAGAAATTGCGGGGCAAGAAACACTGCACCTAATTCAGTAGCATTTGAAGGTGCCTATAAAACTCTGTTACTAAATAATTTAAGTGCACCACATTCACCTAATTCAAACTGTGAAGAAGATAAAAATAGTTTTTTACAAACTTTGGATTTATTTGTAACAAAAATTGCCCCGGAATCTGATATCTCCGAAGAAAGGGATACTTAACTTCCAAATCTAATGTTAACCAAGAAAGGGAATTTACTGTTTGTACAATTTTTTTAAATTTCGACAGGGCTAATGATTTAGGTCAAGAGATTATGTATGTGGTTGAGTCTTGAGGAAATGTCTCAAAAATATAATAAAAGGATGCAAAACATGTAGAGAACATGTGTTAAATATAAATAACATAGAAAAAAATTCATATATTAAGGCAAAATATTTTTCAGATAAAAAGTTACTATGTTATCCATTAAATCAGTTAAATGAATGCTTTCTTGACATCCGAAATATATGTGTTTCTCATTTAAAGAAAGATGTACCTCATAAAGGATTAAAAAAATGCTGTCAAAATGCATGCAGATATTTTTGTAGACTACCCATTTAAATGTCAAACACATAAAACAAATTAAAACAATATTTCACAGATGTTACAATTAATATAATAATATACAGTTCGTGTTCGTATCTTAGCTGGTAAGCTCACATTTGAAGGTCATGATGAAATGAAATTGTATGCTCAGCAATATTATAATAAGCACCGACATAATAAAAGTAATAAATGCAATAATCAACAATCGAATATTTTTATTTAATGACTGTATTATATAGATTTCTGTTTTGTAAATATTCATTGATTTTTTTGTAAAATCTTGAATTTAATATTTTTAAACCTAACCAATGTAATATATAGCAATTCATAAGCAGTTTTTGAAATGCCTGATTTCATCTTAACATCTATTTGTCTAAATAAAAATAAGAATATGTTGGTATTAATTGCAATGTAACAAAAATAAATGTTTATATTACAGAAATCTATAATACTTCTTTAATTGAACCCTAATCCCTTAAAATATAAATATAACCGCCTATAGTATAGATAGCTGTATATACATAACTACGTACAGCTATCTATAGTCAACATGACATTGAGATTAGTTCAAGGGATATGATACCAGACGGCGAAACTGTTCATATTGGGTGACAAAAAAATCCGGGAAGATGGCTCTCTATTTCCGTATACATTAGACTACTCTATGTCTCTATCTCTACTAGCCGAGAGCAGAAACTATACACTAGACAGTGACAGGTTGAATTTGAAATTTGAATGACAGCTGACAACTTCCTTACGATTCGGCAAATGAGGCAAGCGGAATCTGCAACTATACAGCCTCTTCTGATTTGTGTTTATAGTTCACCATAGTCAGTGTTACATTAACAATTTTGAGTATTCAGACAACTGGAGAGGCCATGCGCGTTAATCCCTAAACAAAAAGTCTGTTACTTTCAGGGTGAGGGAATAATAACACAACTGTATACTTCACAACAAATGTGAAATTGAATCGCGGATTCGCGGACCTACACACGCACACTACAGCATTTGTGTTTGTGTTCACTGCATTTACGCATAACATCAAATCGTTCACGGGTTGATACACTGTTTGTACCGCTGTCTACTATTCCAATTCTATTCCAATCAAAAAAAAATTCTATTCCAATCAATAAAAAAATTCTATTCCAATCAATTCCATCTCTTATAAGAACAACCGCATAGGGACAGTTTCGAACGCCTTCGATAAATCGAGAAAGACCATATAACTTTATGTTTGCTATCAAGATGTTTAACTACATTGCATAGTTCTTGGGAGGTTATGACAAAAATTTGATGACGATAATATTTTAAATTCCTTAAGCGGATATTTGTATCACCATCGAAGCACTATTATATCACACACACATCGTTTCTACTAGTAGCTCATAAGCGGTGATATTTAATACACAAATCACACAATTTTTTTTTGTACTAAAAATATTAAATATAAAGCAGGAACAAGAATACGCCGGTGATGAAGTTCTCCTCAAACTACTTCTAGTTTGTGGTTTGTGGGTGAGAAATATGGATTGCAGATTGCAGAGTGCCAGGTGACTGTATTAGCAAATCGATCTAAACCCGGTTAATAAAGTCTATTCATTCATTACAACCTATCATAAGTCCTCTGCTGAAAATTGAACTGCTCCATATATTGCCTCAAAGGGGGTTGTTTCATTTGTCTCTTCTCAAAATTGCTACAGTTGCCACGATTGACAAGTAAATTAGCAAGGGCAGTTTTTTTATTATATTAATTTATCAGGAATATGCTGCTGCTCAACACCTGTGTCATTTCACTCTATTACCTCATGCAACACCCACGAGACGATATGGGGAAATGGATTCTCTTACGCCACCTCTACACTGTGGAAAATCGATTATAATAATGTCCTCCACACCGAATTCCGGCCACGGCGGCCTGCCTCAACGGAGGCTATCCATCGGCGCAGGACAGGATTATAGTGCCCAAGTGTATTCGCAAGCACAGGTGCACTCTCTATTCCCTCACTCTCATCCGATCCATCATCATCATCGAATCCGATGGGACGGTAAACCGACACCATCCGCAAGAGATCAGGCGCAGGACCAACGGCTTTACGTGCTTTCCGAGGCACGGGGGTGAGACACCGCCAACTTCCTGACTCCGGGCAACTACTGAGAATTTCTTGACGGAAAAACTCGATTATATATGGTAAGTTTTTAAATTAAACGCGGTAAAATCCAAAACTATAGTTTCATTTAATGTGTAGTATTCGCGTAAAAATAAAAAATTATCATGCATCAAAAATTATAATAAATAGTGCATAGCAGTGCCATTGATGCGTTGCTACGCGTTGTTGATGCGTTACTGCAAAGCAGGTTAGAGAGGCGCTAAAAAGAATGACTGGCGGGAAGACCCCCGGTCATGACGGTACTAGTGTAGAACATCTGAGGCATGCGGGGCCTCATCGGCCGAGAGTGCTGGCCCTGTTCTCCTCAATGTGCATAAATCACTCCTATTTACCACGTGACCTCATAGAGACCATCGTACTGCACATTGTCAAGGACAGGACCGGTGACATCTCGAGCAGGGGGAACTAATGCCCTATATCACTTGCAACAACAATTGCTAAGATATTGGACATTGGAACATTGGATGCTGTTGGGACTCCCTCGTTGTTGTAGTGCATCAGGGATGCTTGCGGCATACCAAATAGATGGGTTTAATGCCATTATACGCAAGAAAAACCGCATCCATTATTAACAGGGTACAAGTCATCCACAACAGCATTCTGAGGACCATAGCGGACAGATATACATCGCCGCTGTGGATATGTCTTGTGCAGAGACTGATCACTGAGCCATATCCACCCCCATGACGGTCTGTCTCGGCACAGAGTATAACTTTCTTTTTTCCTCGAATTAAACAAACCATGTTTTACTAACCCTTGATATGATTATTATTTGTGTTCTACTAAACAACATATGGATTTTAAATTATCTGAAATAAACAACTGGTTAATTGAATGAAAATCATGAGTGCAATTAGTTTAATTAAAATTTTTCTTATTTTTAAAAATTACTAAAAAAAGGGCTCGAAATAATAGATTTTCTCACAAAAGAAGGGAATTTGAAAAAAAAAGGAAAAATAAAGTCGGACCCAAGACGGGACGCAAACCACGGAACTCCGATATCACGCCCGACCGACATTCCACCTGAGCTATTACGATCGTTAGTAGTCTGTCAAAATTTACCTTCTTATATTGCAACAGTTTTTTTATTGCCTGAAAACACGGACAAAAGGACATTTTCTAAAAATAAATCCTAGCTAGATCGATTTATTGCCCCCGAAACTCCCGGACACTAAATTTTATGAAAATCGTTGGAGCCGATTCCGAGATTCCGATTATATATATATATATATATATATATATATATATATATATATATATATATATATATACAAGAATTGCTCGATTAAATGTATAGGATAGGATTAATTATTCAAAAGCTACCTAAAGGTAGCCGGTAGTAGTCGGGCTAACTACGACATTGGGACCTGAAATACCTCGCCGTTAGGTCAACATGGTTGCTGTAAATTTAAGTTCATAACGCTTCATGCCAACCCGCCTGGCAAGCGTGGCAGGTATGGCAAGATCCCCTTTGTGAGGCAATCTATTGGGGAGGCCTGTATTCAGCAGTGGACTATTATAGACTATAATAGATAACAGATGGAAAGCTCCTTGAAAGATTAAATTGGAAGGTACTATGATGTATAGCGAGACCAATAATAAACCAAAATTTCTACCGAATATTATATACCGAAAACTACTGACTCATTTTCCACTCACTATACCACGTTAAGAGTTTGAGGGACTCAAATCTACGAAAATTATGGTCCTAAGATATTATCTCATAAATGATGAATAGTAAATAAATAAATATTAG